AAACAATATCTGAATTTAAACAAAGGCTTAAAATTTATGATAAAATGAGATCGGACAATGATAAGTTTAAAAATCCGAAACCGAAAGTAGACACTCAAGTTAAAGATAGAAGTAAGCTTTCGTCATCAAACCGAAATCAATCTAACGTTAATAAGGTCAAATGTTTTAATTGCCAGGAATTTGGGCATTATTCTAAAGCATTGTGTAAACAAATCAAAGGGTGTAAAATGTATAAAATGTAAGAAGTTCGGGCATTATTCAACGGACTGTCCAGAGCAGACCCCCGAGACACAATCAAGCAGCTTTATTACAACGAATTTGTGACAAGGATAGAATTATGAAGACTGTAGAAATAAATAATCATTTAGTTGATAGTTTAGTTGACACTGGTTCAGATGTAACGATATGCAGCGTAGAGTTACACAAGCAGATTGGTTCTCCTAATTTAAATTGTAGCGATATCACATTAAACGGAATTGAATCAAAGCAAACGTACCCCATCGGCTTTTTTATTTCTGATATTTCAATTGATTGTTTTTTCACTTCGTACGAAAATTTATGTTGTTAAGTCGTTATGTAATCAAATTGTATTAGGTTTGGATGTATTGAATCAGTTTAACTTCTCTTTTACCGAGAATGGCCTTCAAATAATTTCTCATCGGAATAAAAGTAATGTAAACTTGATAACTGCTGAGTCATATCGAAATTCTAACGTTCGTTGCGTTATGGGAAATTTGAATATTGCTGTCTCATTGAAGAATGTTTATGATCCTTCGCAATCGTCTGGCGTCTCTGTTAATGTAAACAAAAGTCCCGAAAGCGGAAGTAGCTCGACGTTTAATTACCTTTCACATCTGGTGAATGCTATTTCTGTCAACGAGATTGATTTATCGCATATTTCAAATGCAGAACATAAAGAAAGACTGTGTAATTTAATTAATTCGTACCAGCCTCGGAAAAATAGACAATCTGACTTCAAGATGCAAATAAATTTATGCGATGATATTCCTGTCTGTCAAAATAGAAGATACATGTCTTTCGCGGAACAAAAAATTGTTGACGATCAAATTAAGGAATGGTTGAAAGAGGGCATAATAAAGCCTAGCAATTCTAATTATTCGGCGCCTATTGTTTTGTGTAACAAGCGTAATAATTCGAAACGTTTATGTATAGATTATCGGAAATTAAATAAGAAGATTATTAAAGACAAATTTCCACTGCCTTTAATTCCGGAAGTACTTGATCGCTTAGAACAGTCAAAAGTCTTCACGACACTAGATTTGAAAAATGGCTTTTTCCATGTAGACATAGACGAAAATTGCACCAAATATACCGCATTTGTAACACATAATGGTATCTACGAATTTCTTAAAGCTCCTTTTGGTTTATGTATTAGTCCAAATGTTTTTCAAAGGTATATTTATTCAGTATTTCGTGACTTGTTAAATGAAGGTGTACTAATTATTTATATGGATGATATAGTCATACCGGCTAATGATGAAGTTGAATGTTTAGACAAATTAGAAAGAGTATTCAAAACTGCTTCGGAGTATGGATTACAAATAAATTTCAAAAAGTGCCAATTCTTAAAACGTAAAATTGAATTTTTGGGACATGTAATTGAAAACGGAACTATTCGAACTATTCGACCATCACCTTCCAAAACTGTTGCTGTTCGAAACTTTCCACAACCGCGTAACTGTAAACAACTACAAAGCTTTTTAGGACTAACGGGATATTTTCGTAAATTCATTCCTCAGTATGCTAAAATAGCTAAACCTCTTAGTGACTTACTTAGAAAAGGTATTGGTTTTAAGTTCGATTCCGAACAACAGGAAGCTTTTTGCAGATTAAAAGAAATTCTCTCTCAGGCACCTGTTCTACACATATTTAGGCAAGGATATCCATTAGAACTTCATACTGATGCTAGTAGTCAAGGCTTTGGTGCGGTATTACTCCAATTGTCTGATGATGGTAATTATCACCCAATCCAGTATATGAGTAAGAAGACTTCACCGCAGCAAGAGAAACTCTGTAGTTACGAATTAGAAGCCCTTGCAGTAATAGAAGCTCTGAAGAAATTTCGAAACTATTTGTTAGGGACTAAATTCAAAATTGTAACTGATTGTAGTGCTTTTCAGAAAACTTTAGATAAGAAAGATTTAACTCCTAAAATTGCGAGATGGGCAATGTTTATTGAAGAATTCGATTACGAAATTGTACATCGTTCAGGAAGCCAAATGAAACATGCTGATGCTTTAAGTAGAAATGCTTTAATTTTAACATCATACACATCCGATGTAACTGAGAAGATTCGGTTAGTACAACAACAGAATGAAGATGAACATGTGAAATTAATCAAGAATTTAGTTGAGAAGGGAGAAGAAAATGGATTCTTCGTGAGAAATGATATTTTGTACAAATTTGAAAATGGTAAAGATCTTCTAGTAGTGCCAGAATCCTTACAGAATGAAATCATACAGAAGGTACATAAAAAAGGTCACTTTGCTGTAGATAAAACTGTGAATGCTGTAGAGCAAGAATTCTATATTCCCAGACTGAAATGCAAAGTTGAAAAAGTAATTGCTAACTGTATAGAATGTATACTGTACAACAAGAAGCAAGGAAAAGCAGAAGGATTTCTTCATCCTGTACCGAAAGAAAACGTTCCCTTGAGTACGTATCATATCGACTTTATTGGACCTCTTCCATCAACGAACAAGAGATACCAACACATTCTAACTGTTGTCGACGCTTTTACGAAATTTACTTGGTTCTATCCAGTGAAATCACCAACTACGCAAGAAGTTATTTCAAAATTGAAGCAACAACAGACTGTATTTGGAAATCCAGCCAGAATCATTTCAGATCGAGGTAGTGCCTTTACATCGAAAGAATTTTCAGCTTATTGTACTGAAGAAGGAATAGAACATGTCAAAATTACTACCGGTATTCCAAAGAGGTAACGGACAAATTGAGCGAATTCCATAGAATTTTGATTCCTGTTTTGTCAAAATTATCACATGAAGATTCAACGAAATGGTTTAAAGTATGTTCCAGATGTCCAGAGGATAATCAACAGTACAACTACGAGAAGTACGAAATATTCACCGTTTGAGCTTCTTATAGGCACAAAAATGAAGAACAAAGAAGATTTGAGAATTAGTGAGATATTGAATGAAGAATATCTAAAGCAATTGATGCAAGAACGTGATGAAATGAGAGAAGATGCGAAAAACAACATTTTGAAGATACAAGAAGAGAATCGTAAACAATTTAACAAAAAACGTAAGAAACCGAAACTATACAAGATTGGCGACTTGGTAGACATTCAGAGAACTCAATATGGGACTGGTTTGAAACTACGACCTAAGTTTCATGGACCAGTATAAAATCATAGCTGTTAGATCAAATGACAGATATGAAGTCGAGAAAGTAGGATGCCATGAAGGACCAAATTTGACATCTACTGCGGCTGACCATATGAAGCCATGGTCAAATTGATTTAATGCTTTGTATCAGCTCAAAACCTAAGGACCTGATACTCTTTTTTTCTTTCTTTTTTTTTTTTTTTATTCTCTTTGCAGGTAACATGATAGTGATGTCCATTCAACAGACATCGAGGACGATGCCTCTTCAGGCTGGCCGAAGCTGTGGGGAATCATCAACGTCCAATGCTGAAATGAGAATTGCCCATTATGACGTCATCAGTATACCATCACAGCCCAGCGCAGTAAGAATCATCCCAGACAGCGCTGAGACCTGGTCGAGAGTGGAGGGCAGACGTGAGCAGACGGCTCACACGTCTTCAAGAGTTTATAAACTTATATTGTGCTTTCGATGTTATGACTTTACATCATTATGTTAATCCTGCATACCGTTAACTTCATCTTTATATACTTTTTTTATTTACTTTTATTTCTTTCTATTAAATAAACCATTTAAATATTACTTCGTGATCTCATGCTGTGAATCAAGTCAAATTCTACATACATAGTGTCACAAATTTATCAATTCGGAGTCATTTTACGTGCGCAACGAGTGCAAATAGTATAAGCACGATAGTAAAAATTCCAAATTTGCTATTATAAATTTGGAATCTATCCGAATTTAACAAAACCAAATCTGTTAATTTGCAACTCATAACGTAATATAAAGCATTATATAGCTACCAGAGACCCTTCTATTTTTCAAAAACTCGCCAGTTAAATGCAAATAAACTAAAATTGGCTTAACAGGATTTCAAATTTATGTTAGAGAGCGGGATCGTTTTCCTATTCCAAGAATAGAGGATTTTCACCATATATATATATATATATATATATATATATATAAAATTTCAAAAATTGACCTATTTAAAACTTATTTCCAGATTCCAACAGCGGAAGAAGATAAAATAAAACAGCAATAATAACGCCATTGGGGCTATTTTGAATTTACCGTAATCACTTCGGGTTAAGGAATGCCCCATCTATGTTTCGACGATTTCATCAATGAAATGTTTTTCGGACTAAACTTTGTTTCCACCTATTTAGACGACATTTTAGTATTTTCTTCAACAGAAGACGAACATTCAGAGCATCTACATTGAAACATTTATGCAAAGTCCATATTCCTGAATTTTGAAACCAGTGCTTTCAAATGCCTGCAGTGTTCCTCAGAATCTTTAGATGCTATAAGCAAGTCTTCGACGAAAGCATAAACACCTTCTAAATCTCGGGTGACTAAGTTTATAAAACTTTGAAAAGTCGCGGATGCGTTGCATAAACTGAATTGCATACGGGTACTTCCGAATAAACCGAATGGTGTTGCCGTATTTTTGGCACACACGCGGGGCCGCAAGGCGCGCTACTTATCACTATCACCACAAATCTATTTTTCATTAATTCCTGCGAGAAACTTTTTTTGATTTACGAACATTGCGGTTGATAAAAAGAATGAATTAATTTCAGGTGTGAAATAATTTTGAAAGCGAGTTTCAATATAATAATAAAATTTAGCAACAGCTTGAAGAAGAAAAGTCGAGAAATGAAACTGAAACTTATCTGGTGACGTCAGAAAGGGGAATTCCCTGGCGCTGAAGTTATCTTTCGTCGAACTTGGCAGAATTAAGGTAGGAGACATCGCGTGTTTGAAAACTTGCGGGTAAGTTTTTTTTTCTTTTTTTTTTTTTTTAAAGGCGTCGTTGAATCGTCATGTAATCGACATTATAATTTATTAATGTTTATTTTTCTTTCCTAAACAGTTTGGGAAAATCGTACGAAAATAATACGGAAGTTATTGACAATGTTGAAGTGTGCTTAGGTGTATAATTTAATTTCTTTTAGTATAACGCTAGTAAACTGACTTTGTCAGTGGATGATCTGTTTTCCTGAAATTTATTTAATTTTAACGCTTATGAAAGTTTGTGATTTTTTTGTGTTATAAATATTATAGTTAATTTTAACTCTTATGAAAATGTAATATCGTTATTATATAAAAACATTGATTATCTGTGTTATAAATATTATCTCTTTCGCATCTTTAATTTTTTTTTTTCGTGTGACATGAAATGCTGTTTTGAAACATGTGTAAAATTATATTTTAAAAGATCGTTTAAAAATTTAACGGGGTAATTTCCAACTTGGATATGTATTACTTTTAATACTAAGGTTTTCTAATTGCTCACTAAGCATTGGAACTTTTATCTGGTTCTATCGTATGCAATTTCTGTTACAGAAACTATGGTATTTTAATATCTGTAACTGTGGACACATGACATATTATTATAAGAATATAATTATTTAGATTGTGCTGTGTTAACTTTTTAATAGGGCCATTGTTCCCAGCTGGAAACATCAACTTGAAAATTCGTTTTAAAATAAAATTTCATTCGTTTTGTAAATGAAAGTGAGATTGAATTTTTAGTATTGAAATCAGATTTCAGATATCAAAAGATGTGAGGGTAGGCATGTTAGTCACCTTTTGAGCTACATAAACTGATGTCATTTTTGGCTGACAGCTTATATATTTCTGGCAAATGAATTTGAAAATAATGTCAATTAATTCTGCTTCTGACAATTCTGCTAAATTAAAGAAAACTTATAATCGAAATTATCGTGTGTCGAAATTCAGAAAATAGTCTGCCATTTTAGAACTAAAAAATTCATATAAAATAAGAAAAACAATTCAATATGTCTAAAAATCAGCAGATATAGTTACCAATGTCCACTTTACTAAAAAATAATAAGAAGAAGAAGTGCATTTGCTGTAATTAACTTTTATATTCCCATTTGGGAACATTGGTGAGTGGCCACCACTAATTTGTGAAAGACGGAATTCTCCTTGTCATGAATTTTCACTTAAAATAAAGAAAACTTTTCTTTTTTATCTCCGAAAGGGAGAAATTCCTTTACATTTCAGGAAGAGCAGTACCCTTTTTATACAAAAAAAGAGAATAAATCTATAGTAGACAGGGAAATACCCTAATCCTGATGAAAGGAAATTTCATTTTTATCTAATCTAGTGCATTTCCTTGTCAGATTTTTGGTGAAAGTTGTTGAGTGTTGTTTAGGCCCATGAATTATTGTAACATAATAATACATTTTAAAACCCTAGAGACAGCTGTTGAGTATCTGATAACAATTAGGGATTGATATATCGGATATTTCCGGTGAAGTACTTGAAATTTGTGAATTTTCTGTTGAAACTGTTTGCTTCTCTGAAGAAAACAATGTCTGTAGTCTTGTTGTGCTTTCTGATGTTTGTGAACATGTTAGCATTATTAACAGATAGTCAGTTATCAAAAACATTTCTGAAGTTACAGAGCCAATTTTGAATGAACAATAAAAGAAACGAAACACAATTTATATTTTTTCTTTAATTTAGCAGAATTGTCAGAAGCAGAATTAATTGACATTATTTTCAAACTCATTTGCCAGAAATATATAAGCTGTCTGCCCAAACTGACATCAGTTTATGTAGCTCAGAAGGTGACTAACATGCATAGCCACACATCTTTTGAGTTAATTTTATTGAGTGGATATCATCCAGTACCCTCGAAAAATGTTATTGGATACTTCTGAAGACACAACCATTCCTATTTCCTCTACATTCATGTGAAGGGAAGAATTCAGACATCGAAGAAAATTTTCATTTGATGGATAATTCTTCATTAAAGTCTTGTGATAAATTGGGCAAAATTCAACAATTTAATAAACTGAACACAAAAGCATTATTGAGTTTGAATTATTTTACAATGAACATAGCATTGATGAATCAGTGATTCCATATTGCAGTGACGTATTGGTATTTATGTGCTACTGAAATTATTCTGTAGTAACTATTCTTCAAATTATTCCTCCCATCTTCCAATACAGTTAACTAAATGTTATTCACATGAAAAAGAGAAAAAAAGAAGATTTATAGCAACCAAATATGATTCGTAAATACCATTCTGGAATGCGTAAAGTTGCCATATTAGGTGGAATGTTGTTAAGTATAAATTCCAAATTTTGTAATAAGTAATGGATGTGGAATTTTTTAGCAAATGCATTAAATATGGCTATCATCGCTGGATAGCTTTTATGTACAACAACTTGCAGAAAAAATAAGCAGCTCACTTAGTTCCATCAAGAAATTACAACTGCGTTTTTACCAACTGTAGCAAGAAAGGATCAGGACGAAAAGTTTATTGCTGTATATTAGCAATGTAAAAAGTGATGATCATTACTGCATGTAGTTCAAGGTATGAATAGATCAGTTCAAGGCACACAATAGGGAGTAAATGCGAGATTAAAATAAGAGTGCAAAAAAAGGTTACATTTTAACTACTTTCCAATGTACAATGGGATATAGGTATAAAGTAAAATTTTATGCAGGTTTTATACTGAGAAAAGTGAAATTTTTCATTTAAATTTATAAATTTTCGGCTACATCCATTCCTGTGCTTAAATTTAGCGTAAACTCTTCAGAATGTTTTACTGTTTTGCGTATTTAATCCATTAATCTTAAATTCATGGCCTGCAGGCTGCATGCTCCCTCCTAAAGCAATTTTATCAGGCCCACATAGGTATTTCAATTATTTATTTGTTTCATGTATGATGTTGAAAGATTTCAAGATTATTTGAAGTAGGAATTTGTATTATATACACTTCCATTAAAAATAAATTATAATAACACACCAGGAAATATATAAATGGAGCTAATTAATTTACAGTGTTGTATGATTCTTATTTGAAGATACAGATTTGATTAATATTTATTCATACGGTGTTTGAGATGTAAATAAGCTCAGTTAAGAAGTTTTACGCTAATAATTTTTTGGGAATACAAATATATATGTGAACAGGTTTTACACAGTTGAAAATTAATGAGAAAAATACCAAGTTGACCTTAAGTTCTGCAATTGCACAGTGAAAATTATTTCTAGTAATTTCTCTTTCCGAAGATACAAACATTATTAGGATCGAAACACCATTAAGTTTCAAGCTATAGTAAGAAATAAAGAAGTTTATTTACATATAAACTTATACATTTTTATTCACACATCAAGGAAATATTTCATAAATAAGACAAAGAGACATTGTTATTTATTCTCAAGTTTTGTCCTCCTCTGAAGACTTAGAAACTTTTGTAATTTGCTTATTTTTTGTTTAAATTAGAACAAGTTATTTAATGATTCATTAAACATGTTACAGTTATTTGAAAAAAATGTCACTCTAAGAATTCATTACTTAGCTGTCGATGTATTTGACACAAAGTAACCAAAAAAAAATGTGTCTTACAGGTACCAAACTTTAGACAGAAAACAAATATAAATTTGAATTTTTTCCTTTGTGATATTATTATTACTGTTCATGTATGTTGTGATAAATATGTAGTAAGTAATATTTAAAATTTATCGAGAATACTTCTTATTTTGCTAATAAAAGTTTTCGTTTTATTTGAAAAAAAAAAAAAAAAGATCTAGCCCATCAGTTGTTTCCAGATCATGCATTTGGCACACTTGCAATTTAAGTTTGAAAAAACTGTTTTAGTCTATTAAAAGTGGCCAGTGCTCCCGATTGTAACCGTTATAAAAATTTTATATAAAAATCTTTCTTACTATTTTAATGATTGATATCTTTAAAAATAAGCATTAGAAATGAAATAAACAAAAAAGTAATGAAAAATACACTTGGATCTAAATTTGGTTTTTAAAAGGTTGAACCAGTGTGGTGGTTAGTTATAATTTTGAAAGATAAATTTAGGGCCTTAAAGTAATCACATGATGAAATATGTATTCCATTTGTCTGCAGACAGGTCCAGATTATACCAAAACGTTTTTGGCGAGGGGAGGGCAAATTTAATGATTTTGGAATTGGTAATATTTTTTCTTTAAATCCCTCTCCTCAAGTTTGTTTTATGTGCATTTAAACCTTGGAAGATTTTAAAAGATGTTTTTAATTTCAAGCTAGGAATTATTATTCATTGATGAGAGAAAATATGTAAATAGAATTGTAGTGAATAGTGACCATTACTGGACTTAATTCTTTATATCTTGTTAGTGTAGCATATTTTATGGAACATTCTAAAATTCAGCAGTTTTGTCGTCTTAGATCTGTTACTTGTTTCTGACTTCACTTTCGGCCTCAATCCAAAAATAACGTCAGTTTTTGTCTGTCATGCTAACTTTATAAGCTGTAGAATACCTCTCTTTGTCTCCAAAGTCATACAAAGAAAATAAACGGAAAACTTACCAAATATACTATTCGTAAAGAATAGTTTTATTTATACAAAGACATATATATATACATAGTTAAGGCATATATATATACATAGTAAAGGTGTATGTATGTATATAGTTTTAATTATATATATATGCTATATATATATATGCTATATATATATATATATATATATATAGTTACTGCAAATTTAATTTTGTTCATACGAATAGTAAAGTTACTGCAAATTAAATTTTGTTCATACGAATAGTAAAGTTTTTTTAAACCAAACTGTAAACATACATATTGTTAAAAGGTAAAATTTTCGCTTATAGCTTTATCTGGAGTGTTTAATCTGTGGTTATCGCTGGATGCTCAAACAACAATCAGCTATCATATGTACATCGAATCTACCTTGGTACCATGCCTCCATAACCTTCAAATCTCGGTGGAACCACTCAGACTGCTATTACTGACTGCACTAAGATTTTTCGAGAAGTTTTCAAGATGGCTATGTAAAATATGCAGTTTGATATTCATGTTGCAGCAATGGCATTTTGAAGCTCTCCGAAAGTTGCTGGACAATTTCTCTGTAATTCCGTGTTTGTGCATTTCCAAGAAAGTCTTCGACAATGTTTTTGAATGACAACCAAGCATTCTTTTCAAGTTCTGTCATTGTTCCGTTGAAATGTTCATTTTTAAGGAGCTGCTGAATCTGTGGATCATAAAACCCACTAGCTTTCATCTTTTCAAACAAGAGGCTAGGAACTGACGAAATGAGATTCTTTAAACAGTCTCCTTCAATTGGGAAAGCTTTAACAAATTGCTTCTTGAGACCCAGTTTTATATGCAAAGGTTGAAATGTAATGTTTTTTCTGTCGACAAGTGGCTGATGTAGAATGTTTGTATCATCAGGTTACAGTTCAGACTGTGGCAGGCAGTTCAACTACACACAATACTTCTCGAACTCTACTGTCCCACAAACCCCCCCAAAAAATCAGGGATACTTGGTATATCCGTGTTGCTGGCCAAGGAAGAAGCTGACCATTTTAAGGTCAACACAGATGATTCATTGGTGCGCGTGATATTGCAACAAATCAGTGACTCTCTTTATATCGTTATATCCTTTACGCAAACAAACTGAATACCGTATTGGGACTACACCAAATAAATTTGTATTGTGGAGGAGAACACCTCAAACTCCGCTTTGAGCTATCGATGAACAATTACCATTGAATTGCGTGATAGGCTGGAATTCCCAACTTTTCCATTAAACCATTTATGTTACGGCAATACGCAAACCATCATCACTTTGAAAGTATTGTAGAAATGCACATTCTTTTGATCGAAAGTAGGATATCAGAACTCCTTTTTTCAAGCAAGTTTTTTCTCATGCAGTCTTGATGTTAACAGTGCGAAGCTTTTTTGATATTCCCAAATCTTGTGCCAAATCATTCAGTTTATGCTGGTCAAATCCCTTAAGAAGAAAATCGTCTTCACTTTCAAAATCTTTGTTGTTGGAGTCAGCTTGATATTCACCAGAACCATGTTCCTGCATTTCCAAAGAAGATAATTTTGAAACGTGGCAGTAGAAGTTCTACTGAGTGAGGCACTGGGCATATTAGCTGATGGTAAACTAGGATACACTTATTTTACATTTGTTTTTCTTGTTATATCTTGACATTTTTCACTATTCAAAAGTAACAATAAGTTAGGTGATCTTTGGGCTTTCGCCAAATTATAAGTACACCAGATGGAAATATCGAACGTGCTCCCTTCGTCCACATCCATAAACTCTCGACACATTGCTTGCGCACTTTGTGAGAAGCCTATGGTTTATCAAGATCACAAATTTTAACTAATAAAATAGGCACAATTCTCTTGTGTGACAAATGTACTGTTTTTCCTTTAACTGGGAATGGTAAAATTGCCACATATATAATAAAATGGGTCGGGGCCGTTTAAGCACTTATGACATGAACTAGCAGATGCAGACATAAGGAAAGGTTTCAGTTCATATTTAAGTAAAATCTAAATACTACTAACCTTGTATACAAACAAGAGCATGGACTCCATGTTGGAATGTGCTTCACTACCTCAGAGTGACACACATCTCACTATGAGCTGCTTAGTACCATTAAATGGTAATAAGAAAGTACCATTGAATGTATCTATAATGTAAGGAAATGCGATCATTTCTCATATTTAATACATATAAAATATCACAATATACACAATCGAGTCAAATTAAAGTGACGACCTGTAAAAAGCCAAAATAACCTCCTTTCGCAGAATGGACCACTGCAAGATGTGCAGGAAGAGAGTCAGTTAGGTTCTTGAAGGTGTTCACTTGAATGTTGAGACATGCCATGTATTTATAATGTAAGAAAATGCGGTCATTTCTCACATTTAATACATATAACATATCACAATATACACAGTCCAGTCACATTAATGTGATGACCTGTCAAAATCCAGAATAACCACCTTTCGCAGAGTGGACCGCTGCAAGACGCGTAGGAAGAGAGTCAGTTAGGTTCTTGAAAGTGTTCACTTGGATATTGAGCCATGCCAACTCCATTGCAGTGGCCAGGTGTGCTAGGTTACGTAGTTAAGGATCCTTGGCGCGAGCAACCCGATCGAGGTGGTCCCACAGATTTTTGATTGGGTTTAAGTCCGGGGAGTTTACTGGCCAGGGGAGTATGGTCATCCTGGTTCTCTTCGAACCACACACTTACATTGCGAGCTGTATGATACTTTTTATTGTCCTGCTGGTAGATGCCGTCATTCTGAGAAAAAACAATTCCCATGTAGGGGTGGACATGGTTTGCAAGGACAGATGCATATTTCTGTTGATCCGTCATGCCTTGATTGATGCAAAGATGAGTGCACCCACAAAATTCCACGAAAACATTCTCTAGACCAAAATGCTCCCTCCTGCAGCCTGGATTGTTCTGGTAATTGTTGAAGAGCATTTGCTTTCCGACATTTCGCGCCATGTACACCACTATCTATCCGATGGAGCATAACACATAATTCATTGTAAAAATCCATTTATTGCCACTCAGTCGACGTCCAGTTGCAGTACTGGTGTGCAAATTCCAGCCTTCGTTGCCAATGAACAGCAGTCAGCATAAGTGCTTTAACTAGGCATCTGCTATGGTGGCCCATATGCAGCAATGTTTGCTGAGCTGTAGTGGAAGAGACACTGTTGGTAGCCCTTTGGTTCATCTGGGCGGTCAGTTGCTCAACGTTTGCGCGTCTGTTTGCTCGAACACATCTCTGCAGCAGTCGTTTACCTCTGTCGTCTGTGCCTGCATCACATTTGCCACGTCCCTGATTTTGGATAGTGCCAGTTTGCCATGCACGATATACTTACCACGACGGTATGCAAGCAGTTTACAAAATTAGCCATTTTGGAAATGCTTTCACCCTTACCCCAAAAGGCAATGATCACGCCTTTTGGACGTCATATAAATCGCTCCGTTTCGGCATTACGCCAATGATTGCAATGTTTTTGGATTCTCTCGGACACTTTTTATATGCGCTCCACTGCAATGCGCTGCTAACTGTCTTCTGTTATTGGTTATTTCATGTTGACATCGAAAGTAGGGAATGGTCACATTAATGGGATGGACTGTGTATATTATAGTTGCAACCACCTTATTGTAATATGCAAAAGGATGATACTTTCAATTAAGTAAGAAGTGTATTAGTTTATATTCAATGTCATTCAGATCAGTAAATTATGCATATGTTATGTGATAAACTAAATTATGTATTTTCTGTACTGCTCTTAAATTAAAATATTTCAGCTTTTGTTATGTTTTTATTATATAAAATTAAATGTAATTTCTTGCAAAAAGTGTGACATGGAATAGACAAAAAAAAACATTTCTTATTCATAAATGTTTACTTTTCATTTCTTTTACAGATTTTGTATTAGTTTGCAGCTTTGAGAAATATTCAGACATTGAACATGAATACAAAATTTTACGAGTCTATAATTGCAAATGAGAGAGAAAAATTTAAGGTAAATGAAGCAGCACTAAAGAAAGCTGCCGCTGATGTTGCTAAATCATATAATCGGAAAGCTTTAAAGAAAGGCTCTACTTACCTTAATTACAACTATGCTGCAAACCGATGTGCTTATCTTTATAAATATGCAGATATACACACAGGTCTTGTGACCAAATATTTCGAAAATTTGATTGAAAAAGAAGAAGTTAAAAACTTGCTGGAATCTAAAAAGAATTTAAAAATCTGTTGTCTAGGAGGAGGTCCGGGCACAGATATTGTGGGTATATTTCGAGCCTTAGCAAAATATTCTGCTTTTCATGAAAAAGTATCAGAAGTCAGGGTTCTAGATATTTGCAAAGGATGGCGGAATTCGTTCAAGCGAATTATATCAAGCATAAAAAAAGGAAAAATGAAGGGCATACCAGAAAATTTTATTGATAAGAAAAGATTTTTTGCTCATTTGATCTCTGTCGACCTTCTTGGTGCCTTGCCACAAGGAGTTGTGAATGTAATTTCAAATGCAGATATTATATGCATGGTTAAATTCGTATCAGCGGTTCTTGGAAAGCCAGAATCAGTGTCAGCATTACAGGTATGTATAAAAATACTGAGTACTTCTTTATTTAAAAGATTTCACTTTAGTTTCAATATTTATATCTTTTGTTGTCAGGTCAATTTGTGTAATAAGTGAAAGAGTTTTAAATGAGATTATTTTATTGTTGCATATATATATTTAATAAAGTATTTGCAAGAACTAACATATTTTAATATAATTCTTCCAATTAAAAAAAATAAACAAGCATTTTATATTTTTACCGATGTATATAGACAGCCTATGAAAAACAGTCCTATTGAAACCAGCTGTAACGAACTTTTAAGGGACTGGAAGTTTGATTCATTATATCCTTATGAGGATATAATGAGTCTTATATGAAAAGAATAGATTATCTATGAAAATAATGCAAAAAAATCGCCAAGGTGTACCTTGAAATATATTTTCCCCGAAAGTTTTAGAACATGAATTAATTAGTACGAAATGACGTTTGGTTCACAAGCATAAAATAAATTGTCGCCTATATACCCATAATCGATGCGCGACGATTCTTCTCTGCATAATCACATTTTGGAAATGTAGCAGTGCACAACTGCAGATTGTGACGTTGTACTGTATTGTAACGTCTCGGATTTCTTCTTGTTTGGTTGGATTTCTCTTGGATTTCTTCTTGTTTGGTTACATAAACGATCAGGTTTATGCAACTTCACATACAAGTTGGCTGGATCTAAATCATCATATTACAGATGCTTGCAACAATGTGATACCTTCCACGCTGAGAAATATGAATGTAGAATTACTCTCACGAATACAAATCTGTATCATAAGCAATGGCAAACTTTTCAAACATACTCTAGATCAGCGGTCGTCAACCCTTAGAACTTCACGGACCATTACATATATAATTTTATATTTGGTGGACCACTAATTTCAATTTAAAAAAGGTAAATACATTTATGCAGTAATAATCAGCAAACTACACATATTTCGTTCACACTGAAAAATTACATGAAAAGTACAAAAATTTTACCTTGTACAGAAAGCTTCACATTTCCATATCACTGAAAAGGAACTTTACGAAAAGCAAGAACAATCGGCAAAGGCAAAGCAATATCAATAAACTGACAGTGCTATGCCCCCAATTTTTAATTATTGTAAACCTAATAATCATCTCTTACTCAGCAATTGTGCCATCGATCAACAGTTAGACAAAACAAAAACGGAAACTTCCAGTGATGCAATTACAAGAATGCAGATGGTTCTCATAAAAATCCATCAAGTTGCCTATTGACATGGAGAAAAACTGTGATATTAGCGACTAAAATAGCCTATGTTTGTAATTCAAAAGGAAAAAGAATTCCATTTCGCGCTATTATTGATAACAGCAGCATATCTATGGATGCAAACTCTCACTTTCAAATGTCGCTAGGTACACCTTCAAATGTAGCTAAGAAGTAGCTAAATTCAGAAGGAATTTCGCTAAAAGTAGTAGCTAAAATTTTAAAAAAAGTATAATCCATATTCTATAATGGATTTTGTTACTCGTCAGTTTTTAAATTGAATCTTCAAAAAAATATAATGTCCCAATTTTTCTGCGGACCATCGAAAAGTTTTCACAGACCTCCGCTGCGTTCTGAGCTATCTACGTGTTTTGCAATGAGCATTTCTGCATTTCTATGTCTGAGTGTTCCTACCTCAGTACTTCTCTGAATTTGTTTTTGTTACATATAAGTAAAATTTAAAAAAGGCCTGGTATGAATTTAATGGTCGAAACACAAACATACATACTTGAGCTTGTAGCCTTGGCTACTAATGTTTAAAATTAATTTATGACTAGGAACAGCATGAATTATAAACAAATAGCTAAGTTATTGCATTTTATTTTCCAGATATCGAAATGCGACACTACGAGAAACGTTTTGAAACCAAAACCTAGCAATCATGAATCAGAACTAGAACTAGTTGCCATTCAGCATAAAGAAATTTAAATATAAATATGAACTACTTGTTCATATTTATATTTAAATTTCATTTTATGTTCATATTTTTATGTTCATATTTATATTGCCATTCAGCATAAAAGAAATATAAATATGAATATTAACAAAATATTACAGTTAATTTTATAAAATAATTAAACACATGAACAAATATATGAAATAAAAAATAATTATTTCTCATGCAATAACTGGGCCACTACACTACTCCCCCACCAGTAACTAAGTTACGTTACGAAGATGGAGAAATAGGTAGTAACTAGTATTGCAGTGTTAACCACTATCAAAATAATTTAGTCAGTCCTTGAATCTAACAGGTAAACGTATAGTTCTGCCTGTGCGAGAATGTTTTTGATTCACATCCGAATTTGAGTCCGGTCTCTGCAAATTAGTGTAGTCAGGTTGTATCAACTGAGAATTTTCCTCAGCTAAAATATATGCTGGTTTCAAGCGATCCAGGGATACATTAACATGTTTTCCTTTTATGCTAATAGTAAAATATTTGTCCTTGCGATCAATAACAGGAAATGGTCCCTCATAAGGAGGTTCCAGAGGTTTTTTTTTACCCGATCTATTCGCTGAAACACATGAGAACAAGTTTTTAAGTCTTTATGTACAAATATCTGTTCAGATGAATTTTTACGAATTAGTCTCGGTCCAACAACTTCCATCTGTTTCTGGAGTTTATTAGCAAAAGTCTCCGGTGCTGTCTGGATACTTGGTTCGCTGAAAAACTCTCCAGGAAGTCTGAGACTCTAGCCATAAACTACTTGCGCAATAGAATGATTTGGTATCTTCTTGAATAGCAGTACGCAAACCCAAAAGTACTGTTGGTAACGTGTCCGTCCAAGATATGTTGTTGTGGGCTTTTAATGCTGTTTTTAATGTTCGATGAAGGCGCTCAACTTTGCCATTACACGAGGGGTGGTAGGCAGTAGTGTGTTGTAAATTGATGCCACAGATTTTGGACAAAGCTCGTAATGTATCACTTTTAAATTGGGATCCACGATCACTAATGAGTTTACTTGGCGTTCCGAAACGCGCAATCCAGTTGCTATAAAAGGCTCTTGCGACGTTCTCAGCGGAAATATTTTCTAAAGGAATTGCTTCCATCCAATTCGAAAATCTATCTATGCAAGTAAGACAATAAATATTCCCTTTAGATGGTGGAAGTGGTCCTATGAGATCGATATGGATGACAGAAAATCTTCCTGGTGGTACTTCAAACTCACCTAATTTTGTTTTTGGTATGCCGACTGATTTTAGCTTTTTGGCAAGGAATGCAGGTTCTTGTCCACAACTGTACATCTTTTTTTATGTTAGGCCAAATGAATTTTGATGTCATTAATTTCATAGTCGATTTTATTCCTGGATGTGATAAACCATGAATTCGTTGAAAGACGTGTTTTCTGAAAGCCTGAGGAATATACGGCCGAATATGTTTAGTTGATGTATCACACCACAAATATTTCCCCGAAGGTAGAGAACATTGCTTGAAATTCAAGGAAGTAGTGGTTTGCAAACTCTTCAGTTCTTCATCTTGAGTTTGTTCATCAGCTATTTTATCATAATCTATCGATGAAATTTCATTAACTCTAGATAATGTATCCGCCACAAATTATTCTCACCTTTTACATATTTGATATCAGTCGAAAACTGGGAGATGTATTGAAGTTGGCGAGCCTGTCTAAGTGCTGCTTTGTCAAGTTTTTGACGAAAGGTGAATATTAAGGCTTTGATCTGTATAAATTGCTTCTGTGCTTAAAGTGTTATCATGTATGAAATGGCTTAAATGTTCTAGTGTATAAATTGTAAATACTCTTCCTTCTAGATAATGCTTAAAGTGTCTAACTGAAAGATATATGCTTAATAGTCTCTATCATAGGTGCTATATTTTTGCTGAGTATCACTTAATTTTTTAGAAAAAAATGCTATTGGCTTCCACGAGGAGTTTTCATATTGTTGCAACACTGAGCCAATCGCCGTATCTGAAGCATCTGTAAATAACGCCAGAGGTAAGTTCAGAATTGGGAAAAGACAACAGTGCCGTGTTCACCAGGTCATTCTTGCACGTTTCAAACTGTTTTTCAGCTTCTTCAGTCCATTCGATTTTACGTTTGTCCCTCTTTTTAGCTCCCTTGAGATACGCATGTAACAATGCTTGATTCTTCGCTGCATCCTTTATATAACGACGATAAAAGTTAAGTATTCCAAGAAAAGGTTCTAAGTTCATGAATTGTTTCTGGTCGTTTGTAGTTAGTAATAGCTTGAACTCTTTCTGGCAAAGGACGGGAACCCTTAGGTGTAATTAGGTAGCCTAGAAACTCGATTTGGGGAACAGCAAAGACAGATTTTGAAACATTAATTCTTAACCCAAATGTATGTAATCTTTCGAAAACTAATTTAAGGTGATTTTCGTGTTCTTCATGGGTACTGGATGCAATGAGTATATCGTCTAAATAGGGAAAAACGAATTCTAATCCTCTAAAGACTTCGTGAATAAATCTTTGGAACGTTGCAGGAGCATTTTTTAAACCGAAACTCATTACATTAAATTCGTATAAACCGAAAGGAGTGATGATAGCCGTTTTACATTTGTCTTCTTCTGCAATGGGAATTTGAAAATAAGCTTTGAATAAATCAATTTTAGAAAAAATATTTGTACCTCATAAAAATATAAAGAAAATCTTCAACGCGAGGAACTGGGTATCGATCAGGTATCGTCTGCGCATTCAATCGTCGGTAGTCCCCGCAAGGACGATATGAACCATCCTTTTTCGTAACAAGGTGCAAGGGGCTTGACCACTGGGAGTTTGATGGACGAATTATTCCATTGTCAAGCATAAATTTAAATTCCTCTTTAGCTATAGCTAAGCGTTTTGGATCTAGCTGTCGTGCCTTTGAATAAACGGGTTGACCATCAGTCGTAATAAAATGTGAAAACACCATGTTTAATTTGTGTAGGAAAAAGGTTAGGTTTAGAAATTTCGGGATATTTCGACAGTAAATCGAAAATTTTTATGGATTTATTTAATGTGGTTACTGAGTAATCACTGGAAATAGCAGCGACATCACACTGGACAAAAAGTTGTGTTACGCCATCAATTAATTTTTTCTTATTTACATCGATAAGCAATTTATATTTGTGAAGAAAGTCAGCTCCTAAAATACCTTTTGTGACATCAGCAATTATGAATGGAAACTGAAAATCACGACGTAATCCCAAATCAAGAGTTAGCGTTTTTATGCCATAAGTGGAAATATCTGTGCCATTAGCTGCATACAGTTTATATTCAGTTTTACATTTATTCTGTGAAGTAGCAGGAATTATGCTTACGTCAGCTCCGCTATCAATAAGAAAGTGCAAATTTGATCTTCGGTCACGAACGAATAAACGAAATTTGCGACAATCCTTCATATTTTCTGCAGCAGCGTTTGCCGCTGAACCTACTGCAGATTCGAGTTTTCCTGGTTTTTTGGAATCGTTTTTTACCCAAGCACACGGAGGCTTGCATTTCTCTGGAATGCATTTTGCTCCAAAACGAAAGTGATAAAAAAAAACAAAATTTGCCAGTAGGGTCATATCGTTTACGAGATCGGCTTCGAGATCGTGAACGTGAATTACGTAAATCCGAGTCCCTGCTTCTTGAGCGAATGGTTATTTGATCAATTTTTTTGTTCAAGAGAGGTAATTCTTTGCAACAAATCATTTGCGGGAACGGAAGGAGCATTAGCATTAAATACTTCTGGTTTCCGATTCATATCACTAATTTTATCTGCCATAGACGCTAACTTGGTTACATCTTCATCACTAACTAATAATATATTTTTATTGAGTCAGGTAGCTTCTCCAGCCATAAAGTTTTGATTAGATTTTCAGACACATCTGTAGTAGCAACTGATCTCAACTTCTGCAAAAGTTGGCTTGGTTTCATGTCTCCAAGTTCGATACCAGTAATCAAACGTTTAATCCGTACATTTTCACTTTCTTTGAATAAATGTAATAACCTAATTTTAGCATCCGAATATTTTGTGGCACTATCGTTCGTTACAATGTCCCAAATATTTTCGACGACGAACTTAGGTTCAAGCTGTGAAACTAAATAATTAAATTTCGTTTCTTCTGAAACGATATTTACTAATTTTGAACTGAGCTTCAACTTGAAAAAACCATATTTCCGGTTTATCAATCCAAAAAGGAGGTATTTTTCACACTCACCTTATGAAGCTCCGGTGACTGCATCGTATCTTTCATAGCAGTTTCAGAAGAGTCATTTGTTGACATTTCGAAAATTAATCAGGGTCACCACGATGTAGCCTTGGCTACTAATGTTTAAAATTAATTTATGACTAGTAACAGCATGAATTATAAACAAATAGCTAAGTTATTGCATTTTATTTTCCAGCTATCGAAATGCGACGCTACGAGCAACGTTTTGAAACCAAAACCTAGCAATCATGAATCAGAACTAGAACTAGTTGCCATTCAGCATAAGAAATTTAAATATAAATAAGAACTACTATTGCCATTCAGCATAAAGAAATATAAATATGAATATTAACAAAATACTAAAGTTAATTTTTTTAAAATAATTAAACACATGAACAAATATATGAAATAAAAAATAATTATTTCTCATGCAATAACTGGGCCACTACAAGTTCTTAAGATGAAGAAAAATTGAGGCTAGCAGTTTTACAAAAAAAGACTAAATTTTAAGAAAACGCAACATAGCTAAAGAAATATATTCAGTAGTAGTTTGCCAGGAATATATTGTTTAAGCATGTACCATAAAAATAAATGAAAAATAATATTGCAGTGTCATTAATTGAATGAAATAAAAAAAATGAAAGATGCAACAAATTTTGAGATAAGGTTTCACTTCGCGAAAAACAGGATGGGAATTAAAATAATTAGTTCAATTTGATGGACTATTGATGAATATGGGGAAGATTTCCAAGAAGTGTCATTAATTATAAGATATTTTTGGACATTTTAGCAATACAAAATCAAAAGAGCAGAGCTGGAACTAACATGAGTAACAGTATAAGATTTATTAGTTTCTTCTTTTCTGGCAAAGATTTATTTATGTTTATTTCATCTTTTTAAATGATGTATTTCTGATAAAATGATGCAGGATGTTTTTGCCTCTTGAAAAAGTGGAACCTGCATCAGAATATTAAAATTTAACAGCTCTCTTATGTAATTGTGCCATTTTGAGATTGAATTTTGTCTAACATTTAAAAAAAAATATTTATTTAAGTACAGATTTGGTAATTTTGTTTTCCTGGTATCCAGGATTTCTACTCGTATATACATTTTATGAGACCATGCTTAACTAAATATTTTAATATAATTAATGCAGGAAGAAAAGACTATGTTAGATTATTAAAAACAGCATGTAATATATTTTAATATTTATAACTCTTAAAGTGATTTCACATTTCTGTTGTAAATAATATTACGTTTTTTCCCCTTAAAATTAGAATATTGGAAAAACGTTCAAGCCTGGAACTGTCATCTTATTCATTGATAATTTCCAAGGAAATGTATCTAAATCGCTGGAAGATATTTCTTCACAGATTGGACTTGAAATTACGTTGGGTCCATTGCATGAGGTATTTGTCTGCCGTAAAAGAAAAACTGATAAGAAAGTATACAAATGCATACCACTGCCTGCTACTAGAGTTTCTGTTGTTGGCTATGTTAAAATGTTAACACCACTTAATCTTATGGCTGTTAATTCCTTGCCAGAAAATATTTTGAAAGTTGATAATGATGATGGTTGGTACCCAGAAAGTGATGAAGATGAAAGCTTTTCTTCTTCATTGCGTCCCATCAAACCCATTAAATCTAATGTTAGACCAAAAGATTATAAATCTGTTCATAAACCAAACAATCAGTCACATTTCACTAGGGCTAAAAACAGTAAACGTTCTTGTACTAAATGTAACAAAAAGGAACTGAAGACTAACAAAGATGAAACCTTACGAAAAGAACTTGAATTGTTAGATGTTTCCTTAGAAAAGCTACAAATAGTTCTCAAAAACAGTGAGCGTTCTTGTATTATATGTAACAAAAATGAACTGAAGACAAGCAAAGATGAAACCTTACAAAAGGAACTTGAATTGCTAGTTGTTTCCTTAAAAAAGCTACAAACAATTCTTTAAAAACTTTTTGAAATAAAACATTTGGAAAAAATACAAGCTGTTGCTGCTGCTGTGGCAGCTATAAGGTAATAAAAGGAAATTAAAATACTATAAAATTTCCAGCAAAAGTGAAATTATAATTTTATCCTGTTATGAATAATGTTTACCGTCTGATGACTGTGGACAAGGGTGAATTTAAAGAATTTTTAGTTTTTAAATCTTGCTTTTATCTTCAGTACCATTATCAGTGAATCAGGTTTTCTATAATGTATGAAGAGTGAAATGAATTTGTGTGGAGAAACAGACAGGTCCATCTTTGAGATGATTTTCCATGCTTTGTCAATGAAAGACCAATTATTAATAAATTTGAGACACGTGCTTCTCATTAAATGCTTACACATTATTTTTAATGATTTGAAATCCAGATCACTGATTTCAAGATCACGAGCATTCAGTTAAGTGTTTCATAAGTGAAAATATATTTGGAATCAATAATTGCGTCTGCATGAAACGTCAGTGTAATGCAAGAATTTTATGAACAGTTTTATATGAAATATAATTATGATGAATTTTCTATATTTCTGTAAAATTGAATTTCTATGTTAAATTTATTATCTGAGAATTCTTTAAAATATAAAATTTAAAGAAAGGTATTATTAAATGCTTTATTACCATTAAATGTAATGCTGTGAAATTTACATTTTCTTGTATAACATTTTGATATGTAAGTTTTATGTATTATGTAGTATACTGAATTCTTGATTATTTATGCTAATTAATACAGAAGTGCACAAATAATTAAAAATAGTAAAATGTAATTAATTTCTGGGTATTATAAAGAATGTGCTTCAGAAGTTGTAAATGAATGGATATAAACTGTACTTTTAACACCTTAACTGCTGCTTGACCCACCGGTGGAACATGATAGGTTTGTTTAGGAGCCTCATGATCCACCATTGGGTAACAGCAACATTCACGTTTGCGACCACAAGGGCCACTGGTGAATCATCACCTTTTCTGCAGTTTTATGTGGGAACGTAAATTTCTTCGGCCTCCAAATCACTTCGCTCAAGTTGGGCCTTATGCGTATTGGCAAAATTATTTTAAGGAATACAGTTCAATTAAACATTATTTTAATTGAATTGTATTCTTTAACACTTACAATAAAATTTATATAGGTAGTGGTTTTTTTCGAGAAAAAGGTATTTTGCCTTTTCGAAGAGCCATGTTGGCATTTTTTTCAGAGAGTATAGCAAATACTCTGATGATATTAAATGAAATCCATTTATCCATTGCAATTTAACAACTTGTGAACTGTTTCATTTCCCTACAATACCCAGTCATGCTTTTATTCTATCTTCCACCTTTATTTTCTATTCTTCAGTCATTGCTTCAAGGATGTCTTGGACTGTTAAAAATATAGAAATTTCAGCATTCTTAATGTAATCTAAGCATATTTCTGTTTCCTTCACTTACATTTTCAAACCTTTGGATACCAGATTAATTCCAGTAAGGCCTGATGATAACTCATTATCTTCCATTTTATGATATCACAGATCAATTTCTCTAGATATAAATTAGCTTCTTTACAAGTCTTAGCCAGAAGTTTTTTCACAGAGTTTACAAGTTTGGACCTTCATTTATTTTTCAGAGAACTTTCATACGAGATGATATACATATACTTATGAATGACCAAGTGTTCTTTCTGTAAGTTTTAAAATAAAAATTAAATGCTAGCTGTCATTTTCATTTAAGGTTATATTAGAAATTTCACTATAAAACTATTTTAACTAAAGATTTGTTTAAAATTATATTAAATTTTATAAATACATCTTTGTATAAAACACTTTAAATAAAATTTTGCAAACATATATGTATGTATTTTCTTTGACAGTGCATGAAGCTAGACAATATTTGCCATAATTGTATACTGGTCATCAAAATTAGAGTATAAATGACAGAAATAAAATGTAACTGATACTTAATGAAAAATTATTAATAGAAATTTGTACAAAAGCATTAGTTAACATAAATTAAAACGTTTGGCAGTTGATTATTCTCAAAATATTGAAATTAAAGCCAAATTTATAGAAATTGGAAAATGTTAGAAAATTTAAGTTATCTCTTGTGAAAAAATTTTTTCTTTAATATTGTCTGTGGTTACCTCAGACAGATATGCATACCTCACATCTTGATTTCATAGACTTTACCAAAGTGTTGATGTGGAATTGCACGCCATTCTTCTGAAAGTGTACTCTTCAGCTCCTGGAAGGTCCAAGGAGGAATTTAACATGTTGAAATTCAGCCTCCTTAGGCATCCCTCACATGTTCATTCAGGTTCAAGTCACCTGAGTAAGGTGGCCAGTCTATTCGAGTGATATCTTCTGTTTGCAAGTATTCTAACACCATATGTGCTTGATGAAGCTGACCATTGTCATCTATTAGCAAAGCCTCTGAGCTTTGCTAATAGATGACAATGGTCAGCTTAAACAGTCTAACATAGATAACATAATAGATGATAATGGTCAGCTTAACAGCACCGTTAAACAGTCTAACATGGGGTTCCAGTTCCTCATCCATATATCTCTGAGTGGTTATAGAACCTCCTTGAAAGATATGCAGCTCGGTGTGTCTATTTGTCATGATTTCTCTCCAAACCATTAAACTGCAGTCGTGGAAACGGGATATTTCGCTGACAAAGGGGAAGGAAAGTTGTATGTTCCTTTCTCTTTCCAGGGCTGTGGAGGGGAAGAAAATAAAAGAAACTACGAAATTCATTGCATTTAGAGAATTTCAGACAACGATAGAAACGTGTTCAGATAATTATAGAAAAGCCATGTCGTTTTAATATCAGAATTATATTCACTTTACGTTAATGTTACAATGTACATAGGACAACTATACTTTTAAAATCTGTATTGTTTGTCTGTTTGATGTAACTTCATCTCTTTTCAAATCATTGCCTTATCTCTCACTCGAAGGAAATATTTCTGCAGCACTGTAAATACCATAATGTCTTTTTTCGATTAAAAGTAAATCTTATTCAAATCATGCGATAACTAAAATTGAAAAATCTCGGTTTTCCTAAGAAATTTTAGAATATAACAGAACGTTTCCCGCTATTCAACAAAGCCTCCTCATTGGCAAGCAGCTTTCGATTATTTTTGTCGTTTTCTAAAAATCTAATCAAATCGAACCAGGAAAATATTAATAAATTTTAATTTATGATTCTTTTAACATTATGAAGTGTAATGTGAAAATTAATTAATTCCTTTTTTTTTCTTACTTTCGCATACAGAATTTCTATTTATTATAATAAATTACTTTATGGGAGTGATCCTGTTCTTGTTGGGAATTAAAGCTCTTAGAAAAAAAAAAGAGATTGCAAAAACATAGCAATGCGGTTCGTAGTTTGCAAGTTCTTTCTTTTAGTAAAACTCCCTGCGCGCCTATTAATGTGAGGGGGTGAGTATTATTCCCTATACTCCTGCAGTTAGTACAATAATAAGATTCCTTCAATTAAATACTGGTGTCGGTGGCAGACACCCGTTGCTAATGTGATGTTCTGCCATTAGATAGCAGTGCACTCATGATCCGAGAGTAAACGAAGGAATCGTCTTCAGCCTTAAGCGTACTGCTACATCCTGTATATTGCATTTCCTTCATGAAAGAAAAAAAAAAGGATATTTTTATATTTCATCATTAAACTAAGCAGGTATTCTAGTTCAAACCAGCTAAAAGCCATTGCGAATCATATGATATTTACTGGTGTCGCCATGTATGAGCCTTAACTTGAAGTAGAAATTAAACCTTAGAATTGAGCGGAATCAAAATTGAAGATCAAACACGTCAACTCGACAAATGTTATTAAGATTTCAACAATAGCTGTAATTATCCCGTACTATTTTATTATTGTAAATTTATTTAATAAGTTGTTAGCTTGTGTAAACTATCGATCGCAAATTCATCTGATGCATTAATATGATTTATTTTCTAGAATTGTTAGCTTTTATAAAACGTGATTTTTTTAATCCTTTATTTTCGCTGTTCAGTGGAGTTTCCTTGATAGTACAGGATTATTCTAAATTTCATGAGAAATGTTAAAATTTGAAACTAATAAACTACGCAAACCATAGCATATTTTGTTATACTTCAAAATATAGGAAAATTAACCAAGTTATTTATTAGCTCAAAAGGGACTCCCGAATTGGTTATATTAGTCTCGAAAAGACATTTTGCGTTGAATCACTAAAAACGGCGTACCAGTTTTCTAATTGTTGCCACTAAATATTATCGCCCTGTATTATATTTCAAGAAATTAAATAATGAAGAATCTGCATGAATGAATGAATGTATGTTTGTTTCTTGCATTGTAAAAAGACAGCGTTACCTAGAACTATCAAATTTTGAATAATGTAGTCCTCCACCCGAATATAGGCACATGGAAGCCCGAATTTGGAATTTGTTTTCTTGTCTACATCATATTTTGTAAAACTTGAACGAATTTGTATTAATAAACTCAACGATTTGTAAGCGAAGAATAGGAATACTGTACGTAAAAAAACATTTTTATCTCCAACTCGCGAGGCTGTCTATCGTAAAATCTAAAAATATGCTGTTTTTAAATATTTTTAGTCCAAATTGACACTAGTCGAAATGTGCTCGAAACGTATATATAAATGAAAAAAAATGTTCCTTTGACGTAATATAAAATTTGAGAGCTTTCGGATCTTTTTTTCTTACTTTAGACATCTTAAATAAAAACATATTTTATGAAAAAAAAACTTTAAACTTTTTTTTATTGAATTAGTGTGATTTCTTTTCCAAATTAGTTTGCTTTTATAAAAGGCGAGTTTTTTAATCCATTATTTTCGCTGTTGAATGTTACTTTATAGTATATAGGATTATTTTAAATTTCGTGAAACGTGTTAAAATTTAAATCTAATAAACTGCGCAAACGATAGCGCGTTTTATTATACTTAAATAAACAAATTAACTAAATTATTAATTTTCTTTTATTTTATTTTTTACACACTTCACAAATGCTGTATGTTTCTATTTTTGCTGATACAACACACATTTATGCGATAAATTATTGTTTCATTCTATACCCGTCCTAGTGTATCATAATACGCTTGACCCACACCTTTGGTGATACAGTTTCTAAGCTTCTACATATTAGTGGGAAGTGTAAACACATGGATAGCATCTTTGATACACCTCTACAGGAAAATGTTACATAGAGTTAAATCCTATAACTGGCATCATTTCTGTTGTCTGCATCCTCTTCATCTTATGTGAGATTTTAAGTTGTTCTCACTTATAATGTTTTTTGAAGCAATGAGCTGGATAACATAACTGCTGAGAGAGGTAGTTAACTATTGTTTTCATTCACATGTAATACCAACCATCTTCCCAGTACAATAAAATCTTTTGTAATAAGCACCCAAATAACCAGTAATATCAAAATGACGGCATTTTTTAATGTCTAAATTTAAATTCGAAATTTAGGCCTATTAGATAAAAGGAGTCTTCTTCAATGGCCAGACAACCCAGAATGAGCCCTTGCCTTTCTCAGAATCGAATTCCAAGCTTTTCTATCCCTGGCCATGGACATCCAATTGGTTATTTTTAAAATTCTTAAGTCTGTTTCCAAATAGTCGAGTCACCTAAGTTTAGGTCTCCCTCTTTTTCAGGTGCCGAATGGTCTGGCCGAGAAGATCTTTTTAGTTACTCGATTTTCATCCAGTCTGCACAGGTGTCCTGCCCATTTAATTCTCTGAATCCTTATATATTTTACTATATCTATTTCTTTAAAAGATTTATATATTTTCAGTGTTAGTTCTTCTTCCTCAGCAGATATTGTTACATTTTATGCCACCAAAAATACTTCTCAAAATTTTTCTTTCAAAGACAGAAATGATACTTTTAGCTTTTTCTGTCATTGCCCAGGTCTCAGCAGCGTATGTAATAATGGGTCTGATTAAACTTTTGTAAATTAAATCTTCGTTTTTCTGCTAGTGAAGTTAGACTTCAAGTATTTTTTGTGACCGAACAAACATCGGTTAGCATCTGTGACTATACAACGAGATAAAAGAGTATGAGCTAATATTCTGAAGGCCTAAATGTTGAAAACATTTGTATTATGTTTCTGCCGACCAACGAAATAAGCCTTATTTGACAGTAAATTAATTAACTTAAAGAATTATGCGGAACGGGGTTCCACGAGTAAAAATAAAACTTCGAAAAGAAAATTACAAAGCATTCACATTAGTTTACTAGTATTTATTAACTAAATGTAAAGATACATTTAATTATCTTCGAAAATCAATCAGAAAAGTCGTGTGTGGGCTGTTGATGTTCTAAATGAAGAATGTAAACATATTCATTTAACGGCTGAATGCACATATTATAAGAATTTGAAACTTAAATGCGGTCATGATATATCAAAAAACATTGCAGCTACTGGCTGGAACAATTTAACTGGCTGCAACACATGTGCTCCCACTCGAAGCAGCTGTTTTCAACAGCCTACCTTACGAAATTTCACACTTATCAAGATACATGTCTGATGTCGAGCGATTTCTTTTAATCGGCTTCCGCCGCAAGACAAAGTAGTAGCGATGAGAATAGAAAACGTCTGTATTACAAGTCATTCCGGTTACAATTTTTTCTCTCAATTTAAACTAAGGCATACGACGTTTGCCCTAAAATCTGCAGAAACCTCTGGACTGAGCGAAT